GTCACGCCGCAATCCCTTCTCCTCCATTCTCCTCTCGGGATCTTGGGCACGCATGCACACGCGCCCAGCGTGAGTTTTAAGCCACCGGTCTGGGATGCAAACCGCGGTCGACTACATGGGAGTCCAGCGACATAGCCATTACGCTAACTACTGGTTCCCAAAAGGGGAGGTCTTTTTAACAAAATTGAACACAAAAGGGCAAATATCAAACTAAGTACTAAAGTGGAAGTTATGTGAAATAAGAAATCACATTAAACTCTTTGGGGGAGGTCTTAGGAATTTGGTGACTTTCTCCTGAGATTTCATTTGTCACAGAACAGCTTCTATAGAAATGTTTCTGGATTACAACCTGGTGTTCCCGCCCCACCTTGACCGTCACCACTCCTGGCAGCTCCTACCACTCCCAGGGGCCAACTCGGGAAGGCTTTATCTACGTCACCTTTTCTAGACTCCAAATGGATGTTTACCTGCAGTGTCCTTCCCAGTGTCTGAGAAAATGGTCTCGTCTTTTCTCTAGGGAAATGCCCCACCTGTGTTCTAGAGCTCCTCCTCTCATTTCTGTGGGGGCCTCGGTTTATAAACTGCCGTTCTCAAGCTACACCCTTTCCCTCTCTCCGCTTCCTGGGAAAACGAATGAAAAACTGAATACCTACCGTCCTCCCATCAAACACTGAAAACAAAGGGCGACACAGTGGAGCAGCCATAATAAACGATGCTCCCGACGGGGACCCACAGGAGAAGGTCCTAGGTTCCTGTCCTGACTTCCCTGAGCAGCTGGGCACTGAGTGCCAAAGATGCCCGGCTGGCTGAGGCTAGGGGTGCAGCACCATGCCTAGACCCCAGGGGGCGCTGCTGTCTGTCTCTCTCACGGAATGACTGAACTTGAGCACATACAAGACTCTCCCTAGATCCAGTGTCCTGCAGCTACAGCCAGCTCTCCCACCTCCCTGTTGAAGTCCCCAGTGTCTTCCCCCAACAAAGAAACAGCACTCACTCAGGTCACCAGGGAGTGACATCTGTTCACGTTATTCCCCTGCTTTCTATCTTTAGATAATTCGTAATTCCCCATCATCTAAGCACTGTTCCTTAAAATTCTGGTCTCTAGAAAATTAGTAGTTTTGCGTTATCTACTGAGAATCCTTCACATTCTCTGTGTTTCAGAAGAAAAAGTGATAAATCAATTTTGTTTACGTACATTATTTCATTGTCAAGGCCTTATTAAGATTTAGCATTCAGCCCTTTTAAAATACAGTTCCAAGGGTTTTGACAACCAGTCAAATCGAAATATGAATTTTTTCTTTTTTTTTTTTTTGCTATAGGGCATGCACTCACCAGAAAGATAGAGACAGAGAGAAAGCAAGAAATCACCCCCCAGGGGGGATGGCCACGCCGCAATCCCTTCTCCTCCATTCTCCTCAGGATCCTGGGCACACACATACATGCACCCAGCATAAGCTTAACCCACTGGGTCTGGGACCCAAACTGTGGTCGAATACATGGGAGTCTAGCAACATAGCCATTATGCCAACTGCTGGTCCCAAAATATGAAATTTCTATCAACCCAAACATTTCCATATTCCTTCAGGGTAAAACCTCTCTCCAGACTCAGCTCTGCAGGCCAGCAATCTGTTTCCTGTCCCTGGTTTTGCCTTTGCAAGAATGTCATCTAAAAGGAATCACAAAGAACGTGGCCTATGAATCTTGCTTCCTTCACTTAAAACGTATCGGTTGTTTATATGGCCATTCATCCCCTAGCTGAGGAACACAACTTGTTTCCAACTTTGGTGACTAAAAATACAGCAGCTATAATCACATCTGCATGTAGGTTTTCCTGTGAACGTAAGGATTCATTTCCTACTGCTGAATCTGATTTGCCGGTATTTTGTTAAGGACTTTTATACCTATTTTCACACACTATTTATCTCTAATCTTCCTATGTCTTTGGTTTTCATATCAAAGCAATGCAGGTCTTATAAAATTAGCATGTGTTCCAGTTCTTCTCTGAGTTAAATGTAGAATTTAGAACTGGTACTCTTGCTTAAAAGATTTTAATATTCTCATACCGTCTTTTTTTGCTTTGTTTTGTTTTGCTGTTTTTGCCATAAGGCACTTGTACTTGCCAGGGGGAGAGAGAGAGAGAGAAAGTAAAAAACCTCCCCCCGGGGGGATGGCCATGCCACAATCCCTTCTCCATTCTCCCCTTGAGATTTTGGGCACGCATGCACACGCACCATGCATGACTCCCGAGCTGGCAGTCTACAATGCAAACCTCGGGCGGCCACCATGGGAGCCCAGCACCTTCACCACACCACCCTCTGCCCCCACGTCTGTCTGCAGTGATGTCTGCAGTCCCAAGTTTGGCCCTGTCTCTTCCTTTTGTCCTTGGCTGGTCCAG